CTACCACCTGTCTGTCAGTGGAAGCTTGCGTGTTGCTGTGATGCTGAGCAAAGGAGCTCTGGTGGCGTAGTGGATAAGGCCTTTGGCTACTAACCAGAAGGTTGGCAGTACAAACCCACCAGCTGCTCCATGGAAAGAAGATGAGGCCGCCTACTCCCATTGGAAACCCATTGGGAGTTGTTGTGAGTTGGAATCAACTTGATGGCAGTGGGTTTAGTTTTTTGGGTTTTATGGTGCTGAATAGGTTTCAGCAGAGCTTCCCAACTAAGGTGGACTGGGAAGAAAGTCCTAGCTGTGTACTTCCAAAAGTCAGCCAGTGAAAACCCTGTGGATCACAGCAAGCTAACCCACAACCGATTGTAGGGGTGGCACAGAACTGGGCACCATTTAGTTTCATGGTATGTGGAGTTGTCATGAGTTCATGCAGCTCCATGGCAGCTAACAGCAACAACAACATTGCCTTCAATCACAGGCCATAGAATTCATTGCACGCATGTGGAGCACCTCTGCAGTGTGCAGTCAACACAGGATGAGGAGTATTAAGTAGTGAGGAAGAAATAAAATGATAGCTAATGGCAGTTTTAGAAAAGCTGTCCTAAGAGCACTGAGGATTTAGTTGACATCAGAGTTACTGTGTAGGAATTCCAAAGAATTAGACATCTTGAAAAAGAAGTTGGAATTTGGGCTGGACCTTGAAGGATGAATGAGATTGAAGAGGGAAATTGAGATAGGGTTGCCAAATAAAAATACATGTCCCATATGACCTTTGGGACATACTTATACTAAAATATTATTAATTGTTTGTCTGAAATTCAAATTTAACTGGCCATTGTGTATTTTATCCAGCAATTTTATCTAAATTGGGGGGAGGGGAGGAGTAAGTGAGTAGAACAATGCACACAAAATTACATGTTCAGAGAGCAGAGGACAGTGTGGCTGTTGAGAGGGTTCAGAGAGGTAGAGGGATAGGGTGAATATGTAGAGGGTTATGACTGATACACCCTTGGACAGGTGCTTGGATATAAATCTGGGGGCACACCATGTATTCCATATTTCTCATTCCTATGGTAACTAAATCATTATTCCAGAACAGATTATCTTTGGTCAAAAACATGACCGACGGGGGTGGAGGGGACAGACGACTCGCCACCATCAAATCGACTCCAACTCATAGTGATCCCTATTGGTCTTCCAAGGCAGTAAATCTTATGGAAGTAGATTGCCTGATCTTTCTTCCGTGGAATGGCCGATCGGTTTGAATTGTCAACCTGGTTAGGAGTCAGACGCCTTAGGCACTGAGCCACCAGAGCTTCATGATTGATGGAAGAAAATACAGTACAAAAATGTGGATAAATGAATTTATCCAGAAAGTAGAAATTGTTCCTGCCCTAGTGAAGAATCAGTCAGCCATATCACATCCCAGATACCCTTCACAATGGGGCACATCATACGCCACTCATGAATTCTTTGTGTCCCTCTGTGACTGCCAGGATTATATTGTTTCAGATGAAATGTGTGTTTTTCTGAGGTTATTTGGTTTCTGGCTATGGACTTTTGAAAGTCTGTGCACAGATGTGCAAGGATGGCTGGGCCTAGGAGTTCAGATAATACCACCATGCCTAGCCATGCTGTGAAGCTCAGGCACACACCCTCTCTGGTGGGCAGGAGGCCCGCTGCAGCCCAGGACCCAAAGAAAGGGTGAGCATCTCCCAGGACCCTAGAGAAAACGCCTAGGAGAGCTTCGTCTCTGAATAGGCCAAAGTACTGAGGCCCTCGGGTTACCCATGGGTGTGGTGACATGGAGATCAGCCTTTCCTAGCTAAACCATATGGAATGAGAAGCTTTGTGACCAGAGGAAAGGGAAATGCAGGGTGGGCAGGCAACAGGAGTGAATATCGATGACAGCTAGTGGCCCAGATCAACCTCTTGCGCTGTTGTCGACTTAGTTGACTTTCTGTCTTTGCAAAGTCAGAGGAGTCCCAGTCCTTTATGCAGACCTTGAAAATACCACCATCTGCTTGTTGGACAGGCAGAGAGGGCTAGAGCAGCTTGAGGGACTTTGAAGATCATTTTCTAGACAAGGGGCTGCCCCCTCCCCATTTTTATTTTACAAGACAGAAACATTTATAAAAGAAGAAAAGGAGTAAGTCATAGGATTGCCAGCCTTTAAAACAAACAAAACACACTCATTTATGCATAGGATGAATGCACTTAAACTATACGAAGAACTTGGCATAGTTTTTATTATTTTCTTACTTTAGCTCAAGTGTTTCTAATGACACAGTGAAATTCTTACCACAGCCCAGCAACAGTGTCTGATGTATCTCACCTACTGTGACAAATGAACAGACTTAGGCCCTAAGAGGCCAAGGGCTTTGCCCAAGATTGTATAGCTTATGAATAGCAGAGTAGAGCCTAGAGCCTAGGTCTCTGAGTTCTTAACTTTGCATCAGTGTTGGGGTTCCTCAGGGTCATGCTTTAGTAAAAAACGGCAGGACTGGAATTAAAACTTCAGTTGTTTTTGTTTAGTGCTGTCCGACCACACCTTGGTTCATGTATGAACAAGATTTTGAAGTTCCTTATCAGGAGATAACATTTATATTCTAGTGAGGGAGACTGACAACAAATAAATAATAATTTCGGTTAGTATGCTAGGAAGAAGCTATTGAAATACTTTTGATCCATGAATTAATCTCTTGAATAGCAGTGAAGTCAAGCCTGTTTTATACCAAATCCCATTATCTTTCAAGCTTTCTTATGTTGGATGGAAAGATGGCATTAGGGAAACTGTGGCTTCAGGCAGAACTGGGGTTAAGAAAAATGGATTCTCAAGGATCCATTTTTCTCCAGTGCCTGAAGCAGTAGAGTGAATTCAAGTCTGATCTGGGCTGAGGTTGCTCTTCAAGGAAGACCTAGGAAGAGAGAACAGGCATATGTCTCTGTGTGCTACATACTACATGGAACACTTAACGTGCATTATCATGTTATCACCCAAAATACCCGGTTGGGTTGGTTTTATTATCTTCACAAATGAAGAAATAAGGTCTTACTAGAGAAGTAAAATGACTTGCCCAAGGCCATGTGGTCAATAAGAAGCGGAGTCAGGAAGTCTAACTTCAGAATCTGTTTGCTTAGTCCCTACCATAATCCATAATAAATTGAGTCTGTAGTGTCAGGGTCCAACCAGACTGTATGCAGCTCAGGGCAAAAGTCTGGGCCCAACAGGTAAACTGAGGCAGCAGCCCAGCAGAATAAATGTTGATACTTAGGGAAAGGCTACAGTGTAGACAGGCACATCTTCTGTGCCTTGGCTAGGACTTTCTTCCAGGTGAAGGGCTCCATAGCTATAGCTGAGTGGGGATGGGATACAGAAGGTTATTTGCCACCAAAGTATGCCTTTGAGGTGTACTGTCCTTCCCCTTAACTGTATATTAAACCAGGGCTAGAGTTGGAGTGGAAGGAGCAGGGACTTTGGAGTTACATAGCCCTAGGTTTGATTTCTATTTCCATTGCTTCTTGTGTGGGCCTTGGGCGTCTTAATGACTCTGAGCCTCAGTTTTCTAATCTGTACAAGGGAGATAATGAATACCTACTTCACAGGATGAATGTGAGCAGTATACCAAATGGAAGGAGCCTAGCATGATACATGGCAAGCACTCAGAATAGTAGGTAGTTTGATATTATCATCACCACAACTGACTTTGAAAATGCCCCTCCCCCCCTTAGGGGATGTGCACAGACACATGCAGAAGGAATTCTGAAACTAACCAGGTTGTGTACAGGGGCTGATGGTGTGTGTATTTCTTGGGGGGCTAAATGACTGATGGAATTCCATGTATAAGAAACAGACTGTTGCAGCGAGGCCAAAAAATGTATGAGCTGCATGAAGGAGGTGCCACCTTTTCATTGTGCCAGACAGTGCTTTATAAGCTGGGCTCTGAAGTACTCTAGGGTGAGCCGAGGTGCCTGGAGAGGCCCACGGAGGCTGGGTGGTCTCTTGTGGCAGTGTTCCCTGTCTCTAATGATGGGAAGGGTCTTCTGGAGGAGCACTGCTGTGGCTGTCAGCCCTGAGCTCAGCTGCTCTTGTAGTTGTCTTTGCCACACGATGTAACTTTTCCACTTGGAAGGGTTATTGGTGCACTTGGCAACCACTTGCCTGGTAAATGATATGGTGGGGCCTCCATAAATCCAAGTCCCATGAAACGAATAAGTCAGCACATTGGAAATATAGCATGGAAGTGACTCAAGCCTGAAGGAATCTATTTCTAAAAGCTGCCATCCCTTCTTGGGATATTTTGGTGGAAACTGATGTTTGAGTTGGGAGGAGGAAACCAGAAGGCTGGTAACAAGCAGGGTGATGTGTCAAAATCAGCAACATTTGCCCTGGGATTCAGCTCTTCCTGCCTTAGGCCACGGGGCCATCAGCTGGACAGCAACAGGAGCCTGGCGCCACAAGAAGCTAGTGTGAAGCTACCTTTGTAGCAGATAGGATTGACTCTGCAAGCCAGCCTGGTAATGCTTGGCCAGGTGCCTGGAAAATATTGGAAACTCCACCCAGCATGGGAGCCTATGGGAGTTCTCCTGCACGGGCGAGTTATTCTTCTCAGAGTTCTTCGGATTCCTGTGCATTTGAATTGTTTACCTTCTTCTCAGGACTTCAAGTTATACTTTGCCCACCAGAGACCAAGACTAAGCATATACGTACTTAAATTTCCTAGACCACCCTGGTGACCAGATAATTAAAGCTACATACAGTGTTGGAAAGAAGGCTTTGTTGGAAATCACGCTCCACTGTAATTCAAGAACAAGTTTCTTTATAGAGGGACACAGTTGGTATCAGGCACATGTGGAAAAGAAAAGAACAGGCCCATAATCTTGGCAGGGTACCAAGGGCCAGATGTTAGATATACTGACCATAACGTGGCTACAGTTATTGTTAGCCAACCTGAACGTGATGTGTTATTTTAACCCGTTTCTATCTTTTCCTTTCCTTCTGCCAGGTCCCTAGTCTATGTGAAGATCTCCTGTCTTCTGTTGACCAGCCACTGAAAATCGCCAGAGACAAGGTGGTGGGAAAGGATTACCTTTTGTGTGACTACAACAGAGATGGGGATTCCTATAGGTGAGCTCATATCCTGGGAATGTAGCCGGCATGCCAGTTTGCACCTTGGGTCAGTCATTGCTGCCTGCTGTGGCAGCACAAGGGCCATGGAACTTTGACAGGATAATAGGCCATCCATCCTTTCTGTTTGTCTGCCCTTCTTTCCTTTCATCCATCCATCCAGTCAACCCATAGATATTTGTGGAGTGGCTCCAATAAGCACTGGAGATACAGGAGTGAACAGAAGGCCCCTGCCTTTGTGGATCTTACAGTCTAATTAGTTATAATTGCATTAAGTCCTGCACTGGGCATGGTACCAAGATACCATGAGCTTATATGATAGGGATCTTAGTCCTAAAGGTAGGGAGAGCCTCTATGATTATGGGACATTTGAATACAGTTCTGTCAGCAAACACACAACTCTACTTTCTTTTTCTGTCACTGCTAAGAGCTGGAGATGTATAAATAACTCAAATGACGTTAGTCCCATGCTCAGTGATCATTTGGTCTAGAATAGGAGATACTAGTTACTACTGTAGGAGCTCTGGTAGCATAGTGGCTAAAGCACTTGACTGCTAACCAGAAGGCTGGCGGTTCAAACCCACCAGCCACTCCTCGGAAGGAAGGTTGGGCAATCCTACTTCCGTAGTGATACTGCCTCAGAAACCCAAGGAGGGGTCGCTATGAGTCGGGGCCGACTCGACGGCACATAACAACAACAACAACAGTTACTACTGTATAATGTGATATATGAAACCAGCACAGATCTTGTTGAGAGTGTGGAAATAGTATAGAAGTGGTCATGATTGACTCCAGGAGGGTGTCCTGAAGGAGCTGTCTGACCTAGGTTTTAAAGGATGTCTAAGGAGTTCTTTCTATGAAAAGAGCAAGAATCCCTAAACGAATTCATCTGTGATGAATTGTCTTAGCTAGAGTCAGTGCCTTGAAGAATGGTATAGGAATAGAGTCTGCTTTAAGTTTATTTAAGGAGCTCTGTTACGTAGTAGGTAATGTATTTGGCTGCTAACCAGAAGGTTGGCAGTTCAAACCTACCAGCTGTTCCACATGAGGAAGAGGAGGCAGTCTACTTCTGTGTAGATCTACAGCCTTGGAAACCCACTGGGGGTCACTAAGAGTTGGCATAGTCTCAGTACCAGTGGTCTGGTTTTTGGTTTTAGGTCTATTTAGAACCTGGGCTGAGTCCTTTTTTTTCTTCCCTCTCCTCTTTTTACTGTGATTTGGGTGAAAATTGACAGACCAAATCCATTTTCCATACAACAGTTCATACACATTTTGCTTCATGACATTGATTACAGTCCCCATAATGTTATAGCTCTCTTCCCGCCTCCTCTCTGTGGTTACCTGTTGTCTGTGTCCTTCTTTCCTATGCTTTCCTGCCCTGGGTGCTATCTCCCTGTGCAAATACTGTCTGGTAGCGTAGTGCCTAAGCCATTAGATTGTTAACCAGAAGGGTGCTGGTTCAACCCACCAGCCACTCTTTGGAAGGAAGGTTGGGCAATCTACTTCCGTAGTGATACTGACTTGGAAACCCAAGGAGGGGTCACTATGAATCAGATCTGACTCGATGGCAGTGTGTTTTGGTTTTTTGTTTGATCTCCCATGGTTGATTGTCTGGGCTGTCTTGCTGCTTGAGCCTAAAGCTCTCTTCAGAGGGTGGGTCTGAGAAGTAGAAACAGAAAAAAATATCTGCACTCAGCAGACATGAGTTCCAAATCAGCACTGCCCTCTCCTTGCAGTGGGGTCTTTGACAAATGACTTAATGCTCTCTCATTCTTAGCTTTCTCATGAGTAAAATGGAAATAATAATATGCATTCATTCAACAGGACGCTCAGTACTCAATAGCCTTTTTCTATGAGCATGTGCTATGTGCTGGCACTGTTCTAAGTCTCTTTTTATGGAGCTTAGATCCTAGTCAGGAAGCCAGGCACATTTTTTAGATTATGAAAAATGTTAAGGATAGTAAAAAGGTCAAGGGGAAGGAGAGATAGGATGGATGACAGGGAAAGCTCTCTCAAGTTATAATGTTTTAAAAGAGACTTAAGGGTGGGCCATGCACAGGTCTGAGATAAGACCATTTCACCTGGAAAGGCCCTGGGTGGAGATGAGCTTGTTGAGATCAAGGAAGACGAGAGTTGGAGAATCATGGAGAGTGAAAGTAAGGTCAGAGGTGTGGCAGGAGCCTTGAAGCCAGGCTAAGGGAAACAGGACTTAATGCAAGGTTATGGGGGGATTAAAAGAACATATATGAAGTACTGACTATAAAGGTTTAATACTGACTTTTTAAGAGACCAAACAGTTAATTTGGCTGTTAACCAAAAGGTCAGCAGTTGGAACCTATCTAGTGGCTCTGTGGGAGAAAGACCTGCCATTATGCTTCTGTAAAAAATTACAGCCAAGAAAACTCTATGGGGCAGTTTTACTCTCATATGTAGTTACTGTGAGTCAAAATCAACTCAACAGTATCTAATGGCAACATCTGCCTTAAAATCATGTCCTTTTCCTAGCTTCAAAGCCAAGCAGAGACTAGAGATGGTGAGAAGTGGTCACATTTGAGGTAAATTTAAAGGTAGAGCCAGCAGGATTTGTGTGTGGGTGAATTGGAAGTAGAAGAATATGATGTGAGAGACAGTTGCAGGATTTTGGCCTGAGCAGGTGGAAGGTGGGAGTTGCTTTATGTTTGCAGTGCCCATTAGATGGAAATGGAGATGTCATGTAGACTGTGGTGTTCAGTCTGGAGTTCTAGGAGCATGGTCTGGCTTGGAGATATAAATGTGGGTGTCCCCAGCATGGATAATGATGCAGCCCTGAGAGAGAAGCAGGGCCATGTGGTCTAAGGAAGGAGGGAGCATTGCTGAAGAAGAGATGGGGGCTTAGCAGGAGGCACCATGATGGAAGGAGATGTGAGGCCTTGGTACCTGGGAGGTGGATAATTTATAGTGTCCCAATCCAAGATAAGAAATTCAGGTTAAAATTAAGGAAGAGACTGCCAGGATCACACTGCTACATTCACATGCTGTTTTGTCTGACTCTGAAGCTGGCTCACCACCCATTTGCAGATTCCAAGACCCCCAGAACCAGTTTGAATGGACATTGCTTTTCCTATTAGGGTCACCATTGGCCCCCAAGTAGATACTGGCTGGATGGCAGTTCTTTATCTCCTGTGTCAACTCCTCCCACCACTGAGCCATGGCCCTTCAGGCCACCCTGTCTCGGCTCTCACTCCCCTGAAGGTTCTGATGAGTTTCATGGTAAATAAGACAGGTGCTGTTCCCAGAGAGTCCTTGGAACTGCCGCCCCCGGAGGATCCTTTGGCCTTAACTGTGGCTGCTAGACCACTGTGGGCTGGGGAGCGTTTCCTCCCCTAGCCCCAAAACTTGTCAGGTGTGTGTGCTGAGGAATTGTCAGGCCAGTAGTTTCTGCTTGTGTTTTTCTTTAGTTTAAAAATGAGCACCTTATATCCAGAGGGACTGAGTAGTTGAACCTGTGGGCTCGGGACCATAGTCGCAGAGGACTTCAAGCTCAATTGGCATAACATAATACACAAAACATTGTTCCACCTCCTACTGTGGCGAGTAGCGACTGGGATCTTAACAGCTTGCAAGCTGCCATCTAGATGCAACGATGGGTCTCTCCTCATCCAGAGCCAAGAAGAATGAAGAAAACCAAAAATTCTTGGAAACAATTAGTGCTAGCGACTGGCACACCATCCAATCTGCAGCCTGTACGACTATGAGACCAGAAGAAATTGATGGTGCTCGGCTAACTACTGTCAACCACTTGGAAGAGGATCTTTGTAGGAGATCCTGGATAGACAGGGAGAACAATGTGCAACAAAACTCAAAATCATTTGGGTGGGGGGGAAGCGGGGAACAGGTTTGCTGGTCCGAGGGAGCCTGGTGGAACCACTGAGACTATGGCCCCTAGCTGCCCTTCAGGTATGGAATTGAACGCACACCTGTGGCTTCCAGTCAAACAATAGACAGGCATATCAGTTGAGCATTTACCTGAGGTAGATAGATTCCTTGGAGAGAACAAGCATGAGAGAAAGAAGGGCTGCCTCAGGTACAGGGAGACAGTTCAGGGGGTAGGAGTGTATGGAGGGATGGACACAGGGAAGAGGTAACTATTGGGAGGAAGTGGGAGGGGAGATGTTGCATTATGCTAAATTGTGAGCAATGTTATGAGACAAAGTGTATGTGAACTGCTGTATGGAAAGTATATTAGCTCTGTAAATTTTCACCCAAATCACAATTTAAAGAAAAAATTAGCAGCTTATTGACTGCAAGTCTGACACATAGTAAATGTTTGAAATATGTTTGAGCAAATGAAAATAGTAAAGCCTTTGGAATTAGACTGGAGTTTAAGGTTGCCTGTAACTCTTCCAGCTTTGAGACCTAGGGCACCTTCCTCACCTTCCAGAACCTCCCCTTTATCTTCTATGAAAAGCTTATATGCCTGGTTTATATGATCATCACATTGACTGAAGGGACACAAAGCACATAACACGAGGCTGGGTGCATAGTAAATGCTAGCAAATGGTAGTTGTGGTGATGAATCAAAAATGCTCAACATTGTGTCTGTTACGTCGTGGATTCTGCTAATTCCCTTGATTGTGGTGCTTTCAGGCCCTCGTCTCTGCCCATGCCGTTTCTCCTCCTGCTTTGCTAGCCTGAGCAGAGAATCTGTTTTGGAGAAATTAGGAGTCCAAGGGGGGATGTGCTGTGCTCTAGACCGTGACCCTGCTCTCCTGCTTCTTGTCCTCTGTCCTTCCACCTAGAGCCAACAGTCTTTGTTCCTCAATTCAAAGGTCTGTTTGAAGGGAAGGGAGAGAAGTCTGTTTGAATGGGAATGAAGCAGGTGTTGGAATATTTTTAGAACATCATTCTTTTCGTTTCCTCATCAACATTCCTTAGGTAGCACGTGCCAGGCCCAAGGCTCTGGCAAAAGGAAAAAAGAAAGATATGTAGAAGAGGAAGAGGACATAGACTAGAAAGAACAG